GGGGGGGGGGGGTAGTGTAGTTCTACCTTATGTCCAGAGGGCACTACTGCTCTCCCTCCCTCCCTTCTGTCCACCTGTCAAGTTCTTTTCCACCCCCCAGCAAACATAATGGAGGTCCCAGAGGGAGACCAAGCCTGCTCGGTATAGAGAAGTTACCACTGTGGGGTCTCTCCCAGAGCAGGTGTAACCTGATTAGGACAGAAGGCTCCTGGGCTCCCAAGGGAGTCCCAGACAAGCTTTCTCATCTAGATGCTGGCTCTATTGGGGTAGGAGCTGCCCCTATATGCTCACCCCCAACATCTGGTCCCTCTACCTGTGTCCCCAAGCTGGCATTAGCTTCCCTATAGCTCCTCCACCCAAGTCCATCCAGCCTCTGGAGCCACCCGACTTATGGCCCAATGCCCTTCAGCGGCACACCTTGTCTCCAGTCTGTTTTCCCATGCGGAAAATGGGGGCGCTGTTCCTGCCCTTGGCCTGTGCTCAAATAGCACCCCACCCCCACCTCAGGGCCACGACTGCTTCCCGGTGCTTTTTACCTACGACGGTGCTGCAGGGACTCTGAGCTTCGGTGGGCGGCTGGACGTGCCCAAGCAAAGCTCACAGCGCGGCTTGACAGCCCGCGAGCGCTTCCAGAATCTCGACAAGAAGGCGAGCTCCGAGGTCGGCGTGGCTGGCGGGGCGGGTCTAGACTCGCTGCATAAGAACAGCGTCAGGTGAGGGCGGGCCTGAAGGGGGTGAAGGGGACCACAGGCGGGCCGAGGTGGGCCTGGGGCGGGGTCTGGATTCAATGTGCATAAAAGGAGGCAGATGAGGGCGGGGCAAGAGAGGCAGGACAGGTGGGCCTGGGAGCAGCCCATCTAGATTCATCCCCCAGCGTGGAGGTGCGATCCCCGAGTCTGGCGGCCAGATCGCTCTTTAGGTTACGTAAAATATCAGGCGGGGACAGAGCAGTCAACCTCTCTATGCATTTGTAGGATGTAGTTGTGTGGGGACCATCATAGGGATGGGGCCTGTGTTTCTCTGGGGTGACCAGGCAGTGACTAGCAGTCTTATGGGCGGGGCCACAGCTGAAGCTTGCCTAGTGCTAGAAATTGGTTAACTGGTGGCAGAACTAAGGGTCTGGCTACAGCCTTCTTGAGGAACTAGGGTGGGGTGAGGGGGAAGACCTTCCAAATCCTACCAGCCACAGGTGTCCACCCCCTGGCAAATAAGGAATTGTGGCCAGACTTTCTGATAGAGTCCAGTGTTGTCTTCAGCCAAACACCTTTGCCCAGCTTTCAGAGCTCTTCAGAACTAGTTCCTTGATCTCCCAGCCCCATCTTTTACTTTTTCCCATTCTGCCATCCTATGGTCACAACACACATCCCCCACACACATCCTTCATGCCCTGCCCAGGCCTTTGTCTTGTTCCAGTTGCCTGGGCTGCCCTTTTGCACCTTGCACACTACTGCTGTTCCTAAAGCACTCAAGCCCCCCTTTCTGTGATCCTGCACAGCCTGCCTCCCAGGCTGTCCCTGCGAAGCACACCCTAGCACTTCTCACTGAAGTCAGCACTCCCTGGAACTCCTGGAGGGCAGGGTGGTCTTGAGTCCGGCTCAAGCACAGGCTGGGATCCCTAAAGCCCTCATCCTCTTTGCAGCCAGATCTCAGTGCTCAGTGGGGGCAAAGCCAAATGCTCACAGTTCTGCACTACTGGCATGGACGGTGGCATGAGCATCTGGGATGTGAAGGTGAGGTTCCCCCCACCCCGGCTTCCCACCAGACTCCCAGGGGCCCTTCCTCCCCCCTTTTCCCTGGCTGCCCCGTTCATTTCTGCAGGAGAAAGGCACTTCGTTGGAATGGGAGGGGGGGGGCGGACAAGAGGCAGCCCCTTGACTCCTGGGCCTTGGCACGCTCTGAGGCACCTCTCTTTAAGGGCTGGGATTCAAACCTAGTTCTGCTGCACCGTAAAGACCAAGTTTTCTGTCCTCTGCTTGCCTGGGGCAGGGGCAGAGGTGGGGGTGGGTAGGATGTCTGCTGGACAGCTGAGAACCAGCCTGTTCTGCTCATCTCCTTCCAGAGCTTGGAATCAGCCTTGAAGGACCTCAAGATCAAATGACTTGTGAGGAGAATGTTGGCCTCATCCCAGCTGCTGGGGGAGGGGCTAAGGAAGCTAAGCCTGGCGTTGCTGAATGTTTCTAGGGTACCAGTTCGGGTCCCCACAGGGGAGGTGGAGGGGAGGGGATAGGAAGCTTTCTTACCTATTTGAAGGAACACGTGCCTTTTTCTTAAACAAATACTTTCATTTATTGTAAAAAAAATTCCCCAAAGCACTCTGCTGGTCATGAACTGCTTCAAAACGTGGACGTAATAAAAATACAATTGTAGACATGCTCACCCGTTTGGAAGAGGTTAGTTTGTGCATGGACATAGGTAGCTTATTTTTGCTTGGCAGCAAAATTGATCCTTATACCCAAGAGCCTTCCCCCAAATGGTTCCTTCCCCACTCTAGCCTTGTCTTTCCTGTATTCAGTAGTCAGATTCCTAGAAAAGTGGTCGCGCGTTCCACGCTGATTCTGGGCTTTAAATTTAATTACTCTATTTGATGTCTACAGTTGGTTTCTGGTAAATGCTCACTTTTTAAGACTTTTTCCTCATTCTCATTTTCATTTTCTTCAGAGGATTTTGTTTAGTCACATACTTTTTAGTTATCTATTTATATAATCATGGTTTTTCTCTTTTAACCTAAGTAATAAGGAGGTTTCTGCAGGCCAAGGTGAGCTGCAGATGCTGGCAGCTGTGGTATCACCCCTGGGGTGCTCAGGGCTATGACCTCCAGCATGGTCAAGCCCAGGGGCTGTGGTAAAGGTCACTGGGAGTCAGGCTTGGTTCCATCTCTGCCACTAAATCCCTCATTCTGATGTCAGGTCAAACTACCTGCTTGGCACCCAGTCATTGACTTCTCAGGCCCACATGCAAAGGATGCTGTTATTCACGAGGCAGAGCGCCCCTCAGGGGGGGGTGCTGGGGCAGGACAGGCACTATGGCCAGGCTTGCAGGGAGCCCATGTGACTGTGCTAAGCCCCAGTGTCCCTGCTGCCATCCTCACGATACTGGGTGGTAAGGACTGAATGAGGTAATGCCCGGCAGTCATGCTGGTTATCAGCTATTAAGATGCTTCCCAGCACTGAAATCCTGAGGCTGTTACCACCAGGGGGCACCTGAAGGACAGGACAGGGAGGTCCAGTGCTGCTGCTGGCTGAAAGTGGCCCAGGCACGGGGGCCCAAAGATGGATCATGGAACAAGGATTACGATAATGTCAAGTTTAATCTGCCAAATATACAAGTTGGATTTGTAGAGCATGTTTTGCCTGGGTGCTGCACAGTAAACAGGTATCCTGAAATGATCCATGGGTAGGGTTAAGAATGGGCCCTGGTCAAGATGGGTGGGAATGGGGCAGGGGAGGCCATGGGAAGAGCCATGACCCTCAGGGAACCAGGGGTACGGGCTCCCAGATGACAGCCCAAGTGAGCACCCAGGCAACACAGATGGACTGGTTGTTGCAAACTCACCAAGAGCAGCCCCCAGCACAACCACCCCCTACTGTGCAACCCACTGGACAAACAGTTGCTCTTCTTATCCCACCTCCCAGGCACCCCAACAAAGATTCTGAATTCTAAAAACAGCAAAAACATTCGAATGGTTACATGTGAAATGCTGTCCTACATCTTTCTGTCTCAAAGATAGCAGCTGCCCCCTCCCCCCAGCCCCCCACCCACTCAC